AAAAAAAAATAATGTATCAAGATCTAGATCAAGAACAAGGCAAGACTGTCCACTTTCACCACTTCCATTCAAGATTTCACTGCAAATCCCATATAAAACAATAAGGCAAGAGAAAGAAACAAAAGGCATACATATGGGAAAGGAGGAAGCAAAGCCTTTTCGATTCAGAAATGACAGGCTTGCATATAGAATCTACAAAAATACCATCAGACCTAATGTGTGAATAAACAAACTCACAGGATCCAAGATCAACATAAATATCATTGTATACATAAACGCTAGAAGAGAAACAATTGGAAAATGAAGATGAATGAGTAATATCATTTACGTAAAATACCAAATGAAATACTTTGGAATAAATCTTCACACTGAACACAACAAAATATAGACAAAAAGTGATTAAATGAAACCTAAATAAATCAAGAAGTAACACCAAGTTTATATATTGGAAGATTCAATATTGTTAAGATGACCATTCTTCACAAAATTATATATAGATTCAAAACCATCCCAATCAAATACTCTACAAGGCTTTTTTTGGTAGAATTTGACAAAATGACTCAGATTTGTATGGAAATAAAATGGGCCTAAAATAGCTCAAGCAAATTTGAAAAAGAAAAATGTTGGCAAACGCATGCTACCTATTTTCACAACTTTTAGTATTCATGACTGTGGTATTTGTAAAAGAATAGACCTATAGGCCAACGAAATAGAATAAAGAATCAAATAGTAGATGCACTTAGAGGGAGTCAATTGATTTTCATCAAAGATGCCAGAGCAATTCAATAGGGAGACGGACGTGTTTTCAACAAATGGTTCTGGATGGTCATGTGGAAAAAAATCAACATCAACACTTCCCTAATACCACTTGCAAAAATCAACTTGAAATAGATCATAAACCTTTAGAAGCTATAACCATAAAGAATCAAGAAAAAATATATAGGAGAATATCTTCACAACCTTTATGTAGGCAAAGGTTTGCTAGAAAGGAAACAAAACCTTAAATTTTACTCATCAAAAGATGCCATTAAAAATGAATAGGCAAGCAACTCACTGGAGAAGTATTCACAGTACATATATCAGACAAAGGACTTGCATCCAGAAGATGTGAAAGAACTACAAATTTAAAATAAAAAAGACAAATAACTTTTAATAGTGAGCAAAAGACTTGATCAGATTCCTCACAAAATAATTTATACAAATAGCCAAATTATACATGAAAATATACTAGATATAATTATTCTTCAGGGAAATGCAAATTAAAGCCACAAGAGATACCATTTCACACCCACTAGAACAACTTAAATTCAAAAGACAACACCAAATAGTTGGTGTGGATATGGAGCAAGTGGAGTTTTCAAACATGCTGGCTGATGTAAAATATTACAAACACTTTGAAGAGCCTTTTGGCAGAATATACACATAATCTTTGACAAAGCGCTACACTACTGAGTACCAAAATACTCTTCTACTAAGTATGTTTATCCAAGATAAATTTCTACCCAAGAGAGATTTTTATAAGCAAGTTTATAGCACATTTGTTCATTATTGTTCATTATATTTAAAAACTGTAATGACCTATAACAACCTAAAAACTCCATAAATGTATGTACTATTGATATTTGAAACAATATATCTCAAATATATTCTGTCAAAGTAATCAGAAACAAAAAAAAAATATGGTATATAATGCATTTATATGACACTCAAGAATAGGTGAAACTAATGAATAGTAATAAAAATCGGAAAGTAGTTGTCTCTGGTGGAGGTGAATTGATGGAAAAAGGGAACTTGCTGGAGTCATGGAACTATTTCGTATTTTGTT